ATACATAAATTTATATAATAATTTCATAAATGTACACAAGACACTGAATTGTAACTTGTTGAAATTAATTTACATTAGAAATTAGTCATTAAATTATTGGAATTAATTGTCAAAGTTATGAAAAAAATGACACATAATTTTCTTTTTCTTTTTCAATAAATAAATTGAAAAACAAATATCAAAAGAATGTGACACATGGCGGTCTCTCGTCATTTCAACTTTGAAAAACCTTACTATATTATATAAGATTTTGAAAAGTGTCCAATTAATACATACTTTAATCATTTAATTTATGGATTAGAGAGAAAAGAAAATAATATTGATACATATTATTGAAAAGATTAGATCGAACAACATAGTTTCATTTTAATAAGCTGCGATTTTCATTTTGTTGATAAGTAGATCCATTTTTTTTTTTACTTTGCCACATTTTCATTAGGGAAATTGCACTACTCCCTAGCAAAATTTTCACCCATAATTAGCGGAATGACAAAACACTATTGGTGGTCCTATTCTACCATTTTTTTTTAATCCTATTCTACCATTTCTCTCTCCTTCAATTGCTACTCGTTTGTTCATCTCTTTCTAATTGAGCAGCTTTCACTTCTTTTCTATAATTTTAGCAACGATTATAGCATCCAATATCCATGTGTTGCTGGAAATTAATTGAGAAAGATTTGGAAAACAATGGCAAATTTTGGTACAGAAGAAGAAACGTAGGGATGTTGCCGCTTGTTGTTTGAAGCATTGCCGTGAATACGAACTCGGAAGAGAAACCGATTTGAGTTATGGCTGAGTTGTTGGTGGGTTTGTGCAGAGCGAGTTATGAGAGAGTGGAGAAGATATTCGGGTGTAGATTTATAGAGGATCAAATTGGGGAGAGGAACCAAGTTAACTGTTACATGTAGTTTGTAGCTCGTTATATATAAATGTATCCTGATAAATATTAAAATTCATTGAAAACATTGTATTAACATTGTGAATTATTGTTTTAGCATGATGATATATGTTAGAAAAGAGTTAATTTTATTTGGAAAGACATTCGACTTAACTCGGTTTCCACCGCTCCTCCGCCACCACCGTTCATCGACGGATGCTTCTCTGTTAAATCCAAATTTCTAATATATATATATATATTCACCAACCCAATGATTTTGCTAAATCTGCTGATTTTGAGATCATAAATTTTTTTCTTTCATTGC